TATGGGTTTAGCGGATGTAATTCTTGGAATAAGAATTATCAGAATCCAAGATGGAATTGTCTTGTCACAATCTCATTACGTAGAGAAAGTGCTCAAGAAATTTAATGCCTATGAAGGTCCTTTGTCTAGAACACCCCTTGATCTTAGCATAAATCTGGAAGCCAATAAAGGTCAACCAGTTGCTCAATTAGAATATTCACGGATAATAGGGAGTCTAATGTACTTGACGAACTGTACAAGACCAGACTTGGCCTATCCGGTGAATTAGTTGAGTAGATTTACGAGCAATCCCAGTCATGAGCACTGGAATGCTTTGAAAAGGGTACTGAAGTACTTAAATTACACCCTTGAATACGGGCTAAAATACTCGAGATATCCAGTAGTATTTGAAGGGTACTATGATGCAAGCTGGATATCTGATTCGAGAGATTCTCACTCCACAAGTGGATATGTCTTCTGTGTCGGAGGAGGCGTTGTTTCGTGGAAGTCCACAAAACAAACTTGTATAGCTCGGTCAACCATGGAGTCGGGAGTTCATCGCTTTAGATAAAGCTGGTGAAGAAGCCGAGTGGCTTCGAAACTTCTTATCCGATATTCCATGTTGGAATAAACCTTTGTTGCTTGTGATGATTCACTGTGATAGCCAAACCGCTATAGGAAGAGCACAAAGTAACATGTACAACGGTAAGTCTAGACATATTCGTCGTAGACATAATACCGTTCACCAATTGATCACAAATGGTATTATTTCCATTGACTACGTAAAGTCTAAGGAAAATTTGGCTGATCCTTTTACTAAAGGATTGAATAGAGATAAATTGGGAATACTGCTAGAGGGAATGTGATTAAAAATCCACAATGAAAAGAATGATCATAGTGGTTACCATACCTTGCTGAATGGAGATCCCATAAACTTGGTTCAAGGGGAAAACTAAACTATGAAAATTCAGCTAGGTACTTGGAACATTAGAATGTCCAAATCTATTCCCTAAAGCAATCCAAGTGCAAGATTACCTGTTGATTGTGGTGAGGGTAAGTTGTATGGACTTTTAATGAATCCCTAACCTTTTAAAGGTGGAGTAATACAGGATACTCTTGACAGGGAGGTCACCTATATAAGTGTGAAATGAGGGCCACTTCAATTGTAAACACTTATGAATCCAAAGTGTTGTCCATGGCCAAAACAGACACAACAATAGAACGGAATGGAGTTAAGGCTCTATTGTGTGAATGTCATTGTCTTGGTGTACACTATGGAGGAATAGTTCAAGGTACTATGTCCACTAAGCCGTCAGTACATCCGATGATGTTTACTCGAAAGGTTCAAAGCCACAAGCTACCTTTTCTGATTAAATAGAGTCTTGTGAGGATTGAGTACAAGAGTATGCATACATGCATACATTTGATTTCCACTCATGTGGGGAATTGTTGGAAAACTCAGTTATAAAACTTGGGTTTGACCCGGTTTTGACCGAATTTTTTATGGCTAAATATTTAATTTGAGTTGAATTAAATATTGTAGAAAAATTCTACGTTCCGATTAGATACTCGTGGTATATTTATTTTCTCAAAACTGATTTTCGGTGAGTGAGAAATAAATTGTTAAAG